TTTGTTAGTAAGGACAGATATGAATCAATTTTTATGATTTTTCATGAATTTTCAAGGCTGGAGTGTTAAGACAGGTATATTTTTTCACATTTTTTTGATTCGGTCTTTTTTTTCCTAAGATGTCTTCTATTTTTGCTAAACACTTATACCGAGATAATGCCGTTATTTTCAAGCTATTTTTAGTATAAAAAGTAAAGTAACGGGTTATTCCCTTAAAAGGAGTAGTTTCCGCTTTGCTTTAGAACAATAAAAGTTTTTTTTTTCTACAAAATGTCTCCTTTCATATAGACGCTTCATGCAGTGTGTTAAGAAAATTTTCATGCTTGATTTCATGAAAGACCCGCTTGAACTTATCAGGGAATAAAATTACCCTAAAGTTATGTGACTGGGTAAACTATTTACTTTTAAAACCAACAGGACAGTACAGTGTTGAAGCTGGATTTATTTCAAGTGGGGAAAAGTTAAGGGTATCAAAATTTTGCATTAAAATGAAGGTTACGCTAACTTAGCATCAATGCTAACAAATTCACACGTGTTCTACTTTTGAGCAACTTAGTTTCCATTTGCTGTTTCTTGACTGTCTGGCTTGTATTTCGAACACTTCGTTCGTATTTACTTTTTTTTTTTATTTCTTTTTAATATTTACCTTTCCAGCTTACTTAGTTTGAAGAATAAACTGATTTGGTCAAGAGACTCCAGTAACCTAAGACTGGATTCATTAAGTCTGTATTTACTGTAATAATCGCTAAAAAGTCTTTGGTAAGTTGTTTTTAGTTTTTATATTAAAATATATATGTACAGTTTATTAGTGTTGCGGGATAAGACAATTATTATAGATTAAAGGTAGATGTGGCTTTGCGCGTCTGCAGTGTTTGTTCGATAGAGAATCTTGATTGAAAGTGGCAGAAGTAGGAAGTACTCGGAAATGAAAAATTGTTTTTTTATTTTTACAGAGATCTTTTCTTTAGGCTTAAGTTATGATGCTTCGAAGCCGAAAAAATGGAACGAATATGGAAATCGGTCAAGAAAACATTGGTCCTACTAAGCGGCGTGCTACTGGGGAGAAAGATGAACCTAAACGTCGAAGGGGCGGTCTCAGTGACCTCAGTAATGTAAATGCTCTTCAACTGATATTATTTTAAAAATTTGAAGAGAGACCGCAGGTTGGAAGGGGAATTAATGAAGCTAGAAATACCTCTTTTAAATTTTGATGTGTGGTGTGTTGTAATTGTGCGTGACTTGTATTGTGGTTGCTACTTGGTTAGTACAATAACTAGTACAGTTACGGCGTATACGATAATCTCCTTTGGATGGCATTCAAGTGACCCATCACTTGAATTCTTTTAATTGCTTTTAAAAGCTGGATAACTTCTGATTCCAAAGTTGAAGTCGTTCTTTTGAGAGTAAAATATCGCTTAAGTGAACTTTCGTTTTTTGTTTCTAGCCTAACACTTCGAAGTTATTTTGTATGTTTAAGTAAAACTTTATATATTGCTCGTGGTGTGCAGTATCTAGTCCATTTTTACTTTAGCTGCTCTGTTTGTCGAAGAAAGCTGTGGTTTTCAATATATCTTTTTTGATTTTCCTTTTCTCAAGTAGATATTATGTCTGCTGGACTGGATTGTCTTTTTCCTCTCACGTCTACCTGGGATTGCTTCTATCTGTACCAAGTCGAGATTTAGAGTTTAATAGGTAATTACAATTCGTAACTATTAGGTATTAGTTATTTGAATTTAAGAGTGGCAGAGGATAGAAGAACTAAAGCTTGCATACACTCACAGAGCAAAACCTGTCATTCGACACCCAGAATAAGTCTAAAATTCTATTTTCTGCTTTCTCTAGAAGTAATTTGAACACTGTTCAATTCGCTTGTTGCAGTTAGCGGATGCTTCGTTCATTCCGCTTTTTAAATGTAATTCCTTCAGCTGTAAGGTTCTGCTAGTTCAAAGTGTAACTCGAAAAGTTGTCTTAAACCACTGAGTCGCTCAGTGATAAAATGACAAGAAATATCACTCGTCTCATAATGCAATGATAAGTTATAGTTGATATTTCAGTTATTAAATTGAATTTTTTAAAAGAGGTTACAAATCTAACATCTTTTTGGCATTATAATCTTCCAGGTAATGACCAATTCGTTACGGATAGACTCCAGCAAAAAGGTAGTAGAAAAACCAGCATTGAAAGCAACTTTGAGATGCAGGAATGCGAATTTGTCATGCATCGATGAAAACAAAGTAAAGAAAGGCGGAAAAATTGCTGTTAGAAAGGCCGCTGTGGAAGAGAAGTGCTTTTTAAGAATATCTTAATATGTTCTAGTGGGAATTTACTTAACTTTCTCCCATTCAACTTGAAAGTTATTCATTACGAATTTGCAGACTGTGTCCTATGGAAGAAGAAGATAGTGGCACAGATGCATTAGCAGAAGAGTTGGAAGATCAGGTGGGATTGTTAGAAGCTTAATAAACTTTTTTGAATTTTATTTTAACTTAGTATTTTTTTTTAAAATTATTTTTGACAATGAGTTGGTACTTCCATATCCTTTTTTGAATAATAGGTGGATCCTTGTCCAGAATACGACTACGATAAGAGGAATGAGGGTGATCCTTTCCTCGTTCCGGAATATGCATATGATATTTTCAAGTATTATAAAAAACGTGAAGTAAGCATTTGAGTTTTATTTCATGAAATAACTTTCTTTAATCAAAAATTGTAAATTTATTTCAGAAGTCTTTTGTTCTTGGAGATTATGTAGCTCGACAAAAGTTGTTCACAAAAGAAATGCGTGCAGTTTTGGTTGACTGGATGGTGGAAATGCAGGAGAGTTTCGAGTTGAATCATGAGACTCTCTACACTTCCATAAAGATTATGGATCATTACTTGGATAAGTGTGGAAAACAAATTCGCCGAGAGGATTTGCAGCTAATGGGCTCGACTGCTATTTTTATCGCAAGCAAATTTGAAGTTGGGATTTCTCTTGCAAATTTGGGACTGTATTTGATTTATTGGGTTTTTATGCTTGTACACTTTCCAGGAAAGATGTCCTCCACCGATTGAAGATTTCTTGTATGTCTGCGAAGAAGCATTCACACATGATGATATGTTAAGCATGGAACGAAGTGTGTTAAGAACGATTGATTTTGATTTGGGGTACCCTTTGGCATATCGGTTTTTGCGTCGTTACTCGAAGGTATCATTTTTTTGTTTCAGTAATAAATTTTTTTATTTATTGGTGTCATATGTGAGTGTATCTTATTATGGGTTAAACTAAGTAAAAATTTTTAGGTTTTACAACTTGACATGGCGACGTTGACGTTAGCCCGTTATTATCTGGAAACTTGTTCGTTGTATTATGAATTTATCGGGGTTTCAGATAGCCTTATGGCATCAGCATGCCTTTTAATGGCCTTAAGAGTTAAAAAATTGGCTGATTGGGTACAGCAAGTTCATTTGTTTACTCTCTTGATTTATCTATTTCCTGTCAGTTGCAGTTGTAGAGGGCTTTTTACTTAACACAAAGTGAGCTCTAACTGGCTAACATCATCAATATATTGTTTTTGCGACTTAAAAGTGTATTTTAGAATCCAATATTAATAAAGTATACTGGGTACCATTTGAAAGAAGTTGAGCCTTTAATGTGGGCTGTTAATCACGCCATGCAAATGCGCAGTCGCATATATCCTCGTCTAGCAGTCTCCTTCGATAAATATAGTAGCGAGTACGTTTTTGTTTCTCTTAAAAATGATTGTTGTAAAAGTGGTAGAGTAAAAGGCATTGCACTTTATGTGAAGCGGGTTCAAATGCGAGTTTTCAGCGTGTTTTTCGAAGTGACTAGTTTCCCGTTTTTGGACGACAGATTTCCTCCTTCGGTACCGGTTGGGCCACCATCCGAATTCTTACTCAAAGATTATTAATAATTTTTTGTGTTTTTTGTGACTTATATTAATCCACTTCTGTCACCTGAAGTAAATTTCACAGGTGTAATTGTTTTTAATTTATCCACTTTGTGGGTTCGTTTGTTTGTTTTATTGTTATTATATATGTGGTTTTTTCGCGGGCGGAGTGCTTTCTTTGACCTTGTCTCAGTTTTTCTGTTTGTATTTTTGAAATATGAGCACCTTTTTTAGTTTACGTGTGCGTCACTAGAACAAATAACAGATTCATTTATTCTGTACTAGGTGGGGTGCAGTTGTGAGTAAAGCAGATCCTTGAAGTTGGATGCTAAGAATTAGCGAATTAAGGTGTTTGTGTGAAGTGAAAAGATTATGATAAAAAAAAGGAAAAGAGCTACAAGAATAGTAGTAAGAGTTGTATCAAATGTCTTTAAAAATTTTAGAAGGAGAGGATACAAAAAAGTGTTTCATTGACAGATGTTTTGAAAGTAACGGTAAGAAGAAGTGTTGAATAGAAGATAAAATGTTGTTGAAACCGGTGTATTATGCTTTGCTTTAGTAAGAAAGGGGAGAATTAGTCTACCGGTGGGGAAGTTTTCTTATTTTGGTTAATAAATACTGAACTTGTACAGAATCGCTAGCTTAGAGTGGTAAAAAGTTTAAAGGTTTGGAAATTCCCCCACGCTTTGTTTACTTTTTATTACTGAAGCAAAGTTTGTAATACATTGGCATATAGCTAGTCCTTTTTTTACCGCCTCTTCTTGCTGGTACAGTGGCTTCTATAATTATTTCTTAAGAGTACATTTTGTCTTTGTTTTTATTTTTATTACTTCTTTCAGCTTTTTCAGTTTCCATAGGAGTAGTCTTTTTTCTTCTCTACAAATACTTTAGTTTATTTCTTTTTAGTTACTGTCCTAATTCAAAAACTGCTCTACGCACGACTGTATCCCGGATAATACGAGATAAGTCAGTCCGTTATTTTTTATGACGGCAACAACACTAAAATAAAAAAGGTCTTCACTTAAAGTATATTGTAATTTCGATAACATTAAGCTGTCATTCATTTGCTGTTGTTTAAAGTTGTAGAAATTTGATAAGAAGCTGGGACGGTTAGTAGGCAAGAAATTCTCTTTGCTAGAGCTGCAAAGAGGGCTTGTTGTCGTTTGTGTGGGACTGGATTTATAATTGCTAAAAATATCTGCTGTAAATTACCTGGGAATTTTGAGGAAGCATTGTTGCTATTCACTTGGGAGTTATGATAGTTGTTATTTTTGTCCTGTTCCACCAGAGCTTTAGTATGATTAATGTGAGGCTTCTTGTGCTTGTTAAGTTCTGTTTTTGTGAGAGACGAATGTAGTGCAGGAACGGGAAGAGCTTTTAAATGTAATTTTTTATTTGTGCAAATGCTTATAAGTGTTAAATTTTAAAGGCACATCGTTCTTTTGAAAACCTTTAGGTCGAAATACATGATTTTCATTAAAGGTATGAGTTAAGTATCAGTTGCATTTCAATCTGTCTTTCGCTTCTTTAAAGAAAGTAACCTACGTAATTTGGTGGTTACAAGGCGAAGAATTTTTAAAGTAGCAAAGAGGATTACTAGCACGGCAGTTGTTAGAACTAAAACAATATCAATTGAGTAGTATTCGAAGAAGTTTAGTTTTGTTGAATAAGGTGTCAGATTTGGGAGCTCCTTAAATTCTGCTAAATATTCAGTCCATCGCACCAGAAGTTCTTCTGGCTTGCAAGGTTTGTTTTGAACCATACTTCGCATACGTTTTGCCGATTTTGAATAGCTGCAATTAGCAGTATAGGTAAGCGAGAAGTTACTGAAACAAGTGGTGACTTTTGTGACCGTTATTGGTGTTGGAAATTCTTTTTGCATCGCTGTTATTCACAAGAAATTATTTTGCTTTCTTGCTAAAGAGTTATTTTCTAGGCGAGTCAACTGTGACCTGTTGGGAATTGGTGAACGATTCACCAGTGAAAAACTAATTTTGGGATGTAGATTACAAATTACCACGGACAGTTGCTAACTGTTTTTCTGCTTAAATGAATGGGAGGTATGTTTGACACGTTGTCAAGATTGTTGTACAGCTTGAAGGTGTATTATTGAAGGGTTGGTAAGCCTCTTAAGGCCTCTGTGAAACCTAGCCAATAAATAACAAGTTGGAATTTTCGTGGTTGTTATTGTCTTTTGTTTTTAGGTTTGAACTGGGAAGAGGGGGCGGGGAGTTTTACAGATTTCGCTTAATATTGAAGCCGTCACTGGCTTACAATCTTATTATTCATCAGGGAATCGGAAATCTGGTTTTGATCAACTACCAATAAAAAAATTAAATTTTTTAGGAAATATCTTTGTTGTACCTGCTGACTTGAAGGATAGTCCGTATTGCTTTTGTAAGAACCTTCTCTGAAAATTGACTCTTTTGCAAAGTGATTCCGAAATGGTGTTTTTCAGCCAGCATTGCGTTTGTGGGTTGGTCACCAAATAAAGGGATGGCGATTATAGGTATTCCAGCGTTTATAGCTTCTTGTAAACTGTTGTAGCCGCCATGTGTTATAAGCGCTCGGGTTTTTTGATGGTCTAAAAAGTTCTAAACTTAGTCTCAAAACGAAAAAACAAGTGGTGTAACAGAAGTGCAGCATACGGAGGAGATCGGTTTGCGGTAGCCAGCTGTACAGATGGACATTTGGCGGAAGTTTTCCTTCCAGGTCTTTTGCGTCGTAACGAACGAAGAATTCAATATTTGGAAAGTTTCTGCAAATTATAATTTTCGCTTAAATAAAAAGAAGGGTTTTCAGTATGCTGATTATGATCAAGGTCTCATTTAATCAAACAGGGAGAAACTGCGCAAGAGGTTTTTGAAGAAATTCTTACAAAAGCCAGTAAAAAATGAATGCTTTACAGATTTAGAAAAACATCTTATTTTCTAATTTTCCTTTTTTTTTTTTCAAATCTTAATTACTGTACGTTAAAACTGTAAAAATTATACTTAAACGATTTCAGTAGCTCTGTTTTCCAACTCACAGGCATCTGACTGGCATTAGCTATAGAGCCAAATGAGAAAACCATAATATTTGAAGCTTTATCTGCGATTTTTTTGAACTCCTAGAAGAAAAAAACGAGAACAGACAGTTACTTTCAGCGAACTTTTTTAGTCTTTCATTATTCTAACATTTAGGGAGATACGCACACGTTTAATAATGCAGTAAAGGATGTAACTAAAAGTGTTGAATAAAAAGAAAATGTTGCTGAACTTACACCACTCAACGGTTTTGCTGATTTTCCACCCATACCTAAACCACCTATGTAGATAATTTTATGTAGTATCGGTCGGGGTAGTGCATATGTCTCGTCTGAGTTTACCATAACCAACGGACAGTTGGCAGCAAGTTCTCCGAGATTTGGAAAATTAGGATCAACATATTTTCTGAATAGTTCAGTTTGCGGAGCAATTACAAATCTGTAACCAAAGTTCTGCTTATTATTATTATTATTATTATTATTATTATTATTATTACTGATTCCGAAAAATCTCAAAATTAATTTATTATTATTGTCTTATTATTATTATTATTATTATTATTATTATTATTATTATTTATTATTATTATTATTATTATTATTATTATTATTATTTATTATTATTATTATTATTATTATTATTATTATTATTTTCTGCTGAATTATAACCGTTAAATTCTTTCTTTTAAGTAACCAATTTGTTTAATTTATTTGGCTGTTTAGTGTAGATGACTCAATATATCTTAAGACTGGTTTACTTGTGAGTTTTGGCCTGTTTTTTTCTCAGTCCGCAGTGGATTTTTTAACCTTTAAACACTTGTGATTTTCCACTTGGTTTAGAAATGCACTAAACAATATACCTTTTCACGAGTACTGGCAAAATGGTCCATACGGTAAAACTTTGAAGACGTTGGAAAAATGTCATCTTGTCACTGAATGGTGTCAATATAGCTTAAAATTTAGATTTTTTTTGATGCAGTAAAGGAAACAAAAAAAATTGTGTTGTAAAAAATACTACGGAAATTAAGTAAAGTTTTTTTTCGTCAGAATGACTGTACAAAAGAAGTTATACGCGGTACGTAGCTGCTAGGGGAATGCGTCCCAACAGTATCACTAACAAAATCAATCAGAGGTCCGTTGTTCATCCATATCCACGTTGGAATTTTGGCAGCATGAATAATTCCGATAGTACAAAATCCGACCATATCAGAAATAGCCAAATCAAATCGGGCATCCATTAAGCGTTTAAACATCTCCTTGTTTTGTATCAGAGCTTAAATGAGCTGAATCGAACCCATTTGGTCAATGAATAAAAATCAACTTCTATTCAGTTTATATCAAATATTGC